CACACCCACCCACACCCACACCCACACCCACACCCACACCCACACCACACTGCCTGGGTGTTACTGAGAAATCCAATGTTCGGATAGTGTGGTCCGTAGAATCTTGAGTATCCTTCTGAATACCATCGTGGTTTTTTGTGTGGAGATAATACTTTTCATCAGCTACCCCATGGTGACAAATTGTAAAGGGAAATATTCTGTGGTCGATAATTTCCACGGACTACATGCTGGATTCTATGAGAAAACCAATGGATTTCATAGTTTGGTTCCTTCGATCTTCAGTGTGGTTGCGGGTACCATCACCGTGGCTTTCGATAGAGAGAGAGCGCTTGAAGAGTGACAAACTGATAATAAAAAACTAGGTAAAAATTGACTCGTTAGAAAATTTCGAGCAGATCCGTATTGGTATGTTGGTGGGTAACCGACGGTCAGCATGATGCGGTCAATGATATGTGTAACAGGCATAATTCATCTTTGCCTCTACAGTACTGATCGAAAATAGAACGTCTATATGAGTGGTTTTTTGCGCAAATGCAGACGTGTATTGGTAGAGTCTTTTGAAACAAGTCGCTAGTGAATAAACGTCCAATGGATTTTGCAATTAAAGAAAGTCAGCTGCTTACAGTTGCGCGATCACTACAACAATCATAGCGATGAAACTTCTTCAATTGATTTTACCCGAAAGGGTATAACGATACACGTTGCCGATTGCTTGTATATTCTATGAACGCTTGCCACAAAGCAAATCTAACCAATACCGCTGTTCGAAAATTCTTTCTTCGCCTCTCTCTCTGTATCAAACATCTACGTTCCAAGTAAACCCCGAAGCAAAATATTTTTTCTCCATCTATTTCACCCCCTTTTGACCTCTTCAAGTAACTCTACACGAAATATGTTGTTCCTTCTTCTCTCTCAGTCTTCGTCTTATATGTCTGAATCTCTGTCTACCAAACATGTTTTCGATTATTCTTCCTGGTTATACATCCATCTCTACCTCAAACTCTCTAAACACAACATCTTCTATATGAATCTCTCTATACTTACTATTCCTTTTCTCATTCAATGAAATCACCTTCCGTTGTTGCATATCAATCTTCCCCGATATGTTACTCCAGCCTCGCTTGCTTTCACATAGAAAGCGGTTTCATATCTGAAGCTTCTTCTATCATTCATTCTAACATTCACACTGTATTTTCATCCGAGATCCAGAACTCGCTTGCCATACTATGTTGACAATAATTTTTCTAGCAATGATTCGATAGAGTCCTCAATGAGGTTTTTAGGGACACTAAGCTTTCCTTCACATTTAGTGCTCATTTTTTAGGCCTTAACAAGCTCTATCTTCGCAGAAAAACAAGCAGTGTTATCAGGAACAAAACTCATCCTTACATGGGCCACTATATCCTAAGAACGGATTTCCCCGTAAAACCCGGCGGCCTGCTCCCTAGAAATTCTTGAGCACAATATATTTTTCATTACAATTTTTCGTCATTTTGTAACTTTTGGAAAGTTCTATCTGCACACAAAAACGACGATGATACCTGGAGCGATATTCACGATATTACGGACCCCACTATCCGAACATAGGATTTCTCAGTAGAACCGGGACAGTGTGGCCCTTGGAAATTCCAAAGCACAGTATATTTTGCTTCACAACTTGTCATCTTTTTCTAGCTTATAAAAATTTCTATCTGCACACAAAAAATGACGATGGTATCAGAAACGATTATCAAGATCGTACGGACCACAATAGGCCGACAATAGGCTTTTGTGTAGTACCCGATCAGTGTGGTCCTTGCGAAATTTTGAGTACAGTATATTTTGATTAACATTTTGTGATCATTTTGAAGCTCTTGAGAAGCTCTATCTACCCTGTAGATATGAGTTTGATTTGGTAAACTAATTTAATCAACCTACAAATGGGATTCGGACATTGATACTGCTCCTGTCCTACGAAGTTAGAAATGTTCAGGAGAGATATAGGAAGTTTGTCTGAAATGGGTCTAGATACTTTATTCTAACTGAGAGGAAGATATAACTCAATTGTAGAATGTGTTCTGAGGTGATTTTTATTTAGGACCGTTTTAGGTGCAAACCGTCCCCCCTCCTTTACTTAATCATATTGCGTCTGGGAAACATCGTTCAAAACTAGAACGGATGATGCTGCGTGATCGAATTAAATTATTATATAAAGAGAGTCTAGAAGCTGTACATGATCAGCCATTACCGTCACTACCGTTTCAATTTCGTGTTCTGAAAAAAGCATCGCAAAAGTTGCCAACGACACAATTAAAGCAAAATTGGGCAGCGCTAACAAAAAAGCCGGCTATTCAATTTAGTGGCAAACAGAAAAAGTATTTAACCGATAAGTTTGAACAAGGAGTACAAGGTATGAAATGGGATCCTCAAGCAGTGGCATTGGAAATGGAAGTTGCCTCGTCAAATACAGGAACGCCTTCGTTCGATCACCACGAATGGCTTACTGATACACAGATAAAAGAATTTTTTGGCCGCCTAGCTACAGCGCGCCGCAAACAACAGTCATCCGAATCAGATATTCAGTCTGAAAGTTTATCAGCATCACAACTTACTCAATTAGATACAGATGAAGAGTCACAAGAATTCGATACCACAGTTCTTGATGTGGATGAAATTATCTTCAAAGTTTGAAACCGAACCTCTTCAAAATTTGTTCTTCAGCCAACAACAATCTCAACAAACATTCAACAACAGAAAAAAAGGGACATTTCCATAGATGAAATTCAAAGTGTTGCAAAACGACAACAGAAATAAACTAAAAAGGTTTTAGCGTCTTTATATTTTCTCTTGCATTATGCTCATATGCTGAAATACAAGAGTCAGTACATAAAAAGTCTGGGAACAACGCAACGGAAGAAAGATATCTTCAAAATAAGAATTGTGAACTATACTACAGTAGGATTAAATAAAAGTTTATTGGGTACATTTCGAGTTTTTCAAAAAATATGAGTAAATATGATCCAAATAAAATTTTTATTCACAAATTTTGTTTATAGAAGAGTTTGTCCTTCTAACTATTATGAGGATGTTTCATTCTAAAACATAAGGGTAGCAACATTCGATGCTGTCTAAACAAAACAAATAATACACTATGTTCAAAATTCATCTTTGTAGAAAATAGTATTTCTTGGTCAATGCGATTATATACAAGATGATGTGCTATTCTATCAGGTATGTGACGAAAATAAGTTCAATAGTCATGAGCTATAGAATAAAACTTTGTTTGGATTCATCGGTTTATTGCGAAGTCTAATTCAGCTTTTACTGCTGAACATAAAGCTGTTATCAATTTTGATAATAGAATGATTTCCAACCGAGAAATAAATGCGGAAACTTCGGATTTAAATCCGAGAGTTATGTGTACTTCAAAAAGTGGGTCACACAAATCAGTGATCTTAGAATGTCTGAATATCAAAATTATATTGGGGAACCTACCCTTTAAACTGTTGATTTCTGTCGGGTATTGCCAAACCAATAGGACTTCGGATCGAATACAGTTCAAATTTCAAGTCTTACCCTTGAGTTACCCTAAGAAAGTCGTTTTTCCTGTAACTTCATTTCTATTGGTCATTACTCAATCAATAGTATTTCGACGATGGTAAAGGACAGATTCGAGTTCTTCACCTCAGAAAACCTCGAAGGATCATCACTATGATCCGAAGATAGAGCTCGAATTGTGGATCCATTAGATCGTGGACAAAAATATAACCTAGTTTTCTCTTTAATTATCTTTGTGATAGGTGAGTCAACCTTCTTGTTTCGTTATGTTTTATATACCATTTTGTAGCTCTTGAAATTCTCTATCGAATGGTATATAATAGTTGGGCTTTTAGTTGACCAGAATAGGAAAAGTTGTTTACGAAAGCGGGAATGGCTCAATCTTTCCATAGGGAATGTATAGGAAAAAATGAGTATTTTTGCAATAACTCAAGAAGGGCTCGGCCAATCCTTCTCATCTTCGAACTCGACCGAGATATTGTTAAGACTAAACTGTGTGGGAAATCTCATCGCGATCTGACTGTCCTTTCAAAAGTTATCGAATAAATGGATGGCCGGATGGCCGGCCGGACACACTGACCGATTTTAGTAGTGTACTCACTTTTTGAGTACACAAAAACAGTCATTTTGGAGACATGTCACTTTTTCTATATCATACGCCTCTTACATTCGAAGATCTGTTTCGATCTGTTCTGATAGCTTTTATCCAGACATTTTTACACCATTCGAGGTAGAATCGACCGGTGTACATAATTAGTAAAAAGAATTCATGGGGTCTTTAAAAAAATATATCAAAATATTCGAAATATTTGAAAAATTGCTGTATACTGAACCTCTCAGTTTTTGAGCATTTTATATCTAGCGTACCTAATACAGTTGCAAACGAAGCTCAAAATAACACTGTTTGTAGAGTTTTGTCTCCTCTATCGAATGGTAACTGAACAAACTTTGTCTCACTTACGATGAAGAAAAAAATCGACTAAATACTAAACTTGACTACAATATGCATATTTGTGCATACTGATCCTCAGTGGTCAAACTTGTGGGACCTGGATCTCGTGAAGAAAACACTTTCAAAACGAGATATTTTGGTTTTCTTAGTTTCATAACATGCTCTATCGATCTAACAAACAAAAAGAAAAAAATAAAATTTGACAGGTGCCGGCTATGGTCAGTGCTCTCATAGATGCTCTCTTAAAAAGTAATTCTTCATGTCTTGCGTTAAAAGCGATTATTACGTTATTTCTGTGTTAGACCCTATAAATTCACGTTTGATTTATAGTCGTTTATTCTATGTAATTATAACGTAATATTATTTTACAACGTCTTATGCTAATGAAGAGTAAAATAATTCATGATAGAATTAAAGAATGTATATATCAATTTACATATAATTGCGAGAACACAGCAAAGTCAACTTTACAAAAGTCATACTTCTCTCTTTTCTTTTTTTCTTTTGTTTGCTTAAGAGATGTATGCTGTTGACAAAATAGATGAATATGCTAGGGCCCATCGTTAGATAAGGCAAACAAAAAGAGATAGAATATATGAAAAATAATATGCATGTGATGGCGAGCACATCATGGAAAGAAATCGTTTAAGTGATAAGAAATCATGCATCACCGATTTATCTTAATATACGTTTGTTGAAAAAAACCAACAAATTTTGCCAAGGATCAAGATACAATAAATTCGACTACAATCACATAAAATGAAATTCGGTACACTTCAACACAACATAGCACGTAAGTGTATTTACTTCCTACGACTATTGAATTAATAATAAAATTAAAATCAAAAATAAAAAGTAGCTAAAAATAAGGAAGTAAACAGGACATATGCATGTGATATTTTGATGATTGTAAAATACAGTTTGTGAGAATTTCACTTGATAATACTTAGACAAACAATCGATTGTCGAGATTGTGGAATCTAGTATGTATTAATGTTTACCCCCCCCCCCCCCCCTCTCACCAAAAATTTTTATTTTTGCCATAGAACATCGAATCTTAACGAAATTTTCAGTGTAGATGTATCTTGAGCTGGGCACCTTGTGATAGAAATTTCAGCCTGAAATCTTAAGGATTCCAAGAGATAGCTTAATATTAAGGTCCAAAACATAGGTCTTCGTGCGTCCCAGATTTCTTCGCCATTTTGAAAGCTAGAAAACTTGGATTTGTTTTAAAACGTAGCCAATATCTGAGACTACAACTTAACAGAGTCCGATTTTTTGAAATTTTTCTTTAGCTTAGTTTTTAGAGAACTTCCACGTCATGATATGAAATCAGTAGGGTGTAAATTCTCAAGCATTTCCCCCTCATCTGACGTCTGTCATCAAATCGAAAAATCAAACTCTGTTAAGTTATAGCCCCAAATGTGACTACATTTTAAAATAAACCCGAGCTTTCTAGCTTTCAAAGTGGCAAAGAAGTCTGGGACTCACGAAAGCGTAAAATCAAAAAATCTCATTTCGAGAAAAACGCAAAATACATTTTAGAAGTGTATTTCATGACTTTTCATTCAGTTATAGTGTTTTCGATCATCTTAAATAATAAAAGATACTTGGAACTCATTATGGGTGAAGATATTACGACAAAAATTTATTAGAAAGTTCATCAAAATGATCTTAAAAACCAGATTTTAGGAAATAACATGTGATAATGAATGATATGATAATAAAATAAGTAGTATTTTTTAAATCTTAGATAATGTTGATTATTTTTCGGTAATCAATCATCACCACCTGCTTCATATACATCAACGATGTCATCATCTGACAGTTCTAATGCAGTATCATTGAGTTCTAATGTAATGTCATTTACAATGGAATCATAGTTTTCTTCATTCGGAGTATATGAAAATTCATCACTTTCAGTTGAAGCAGTACTTGCAGCAACTGTTGTTGTTGTTTTTGCACGTTTTAAATGCTTGTTCTTAGTTTTTGAAGTACGAGAGCTCCTTAAAACATCAAGTTTTCGAAGGCATTGAGTGAAGTCATTTTATTATCCCATGGGAACGAAAGCCGCATAGTGTAGCACCAAGTTCTAATCGAGCATTGATTTCTCGACGTCTACCATCTCGGACTTGTGGTGATGAATATAAATGAGTAATACATCCACAATTAGAACATACAAATTCGACGTGCATGTGTAATCCATTTCTTGTTTTGATAGATGGTGAGCCATCCCATAAACAATACATTGGGAACATAAAGTTTGTTTCATCAATGAAATCAAAGATTTCATGTGAATAATTGAATTGATATCCAATAAGTCATCCACCTCATCTATATTTACCGATGGTGGTGATGATGATGATGATGATGATGATGATAATGAATCCATTCTCTTGCTTTTCACTTGCTGTGATCGGATTCGCCTCATAATAGACCTTCTGGTTTTCTTTTTCTGACGAGTATCTTTGCTGTTCATTTGTTTAAAAGATTTGTATTACTTTTTTCTTTCGTATACTTCGAGTTCTGTTTTTGGACCAAAGCAAACACGATGAAAGTATAGAGAATAAACGTAAAAGAAAAACAAATATATATCTCGCTACGTGATAGAATCAAAGTTAAGACAACATTCTGTACAATAGAAAGAAATATATTTTACCGTTACAAGTTGAAATGCGCACAAAAAATTGAATTATTCGAAAGACGTCTTTTTCCATGGGTAGAGGTTTTAAGTAAAACCTCTGTAAAACCATGAAAAACCGTCGTAAACAAAATAAACTATAGTGCATTCGATAGCGGACGTGATGCCCTATCACATGCGCCATTAAAAGAATCGATAAATTTGACAGAAATCAACTTTTTTTGGGTGGTGGGTGGACCTTAAACAGTTTTATTTCTAACTGCGTTAAACAAACTAACTGTTCTTATATGAATATGTTTCAATACGAGTAACAATAATAAAAAGAACGATTTCTTTTATTTTAGAAATACTCCTTTTTGTTCTATTGCTTAACCTGGGTCAGCTTACATGTCGCTGTAAGATTGGTTTTTTGGTTAGAAGAGGAGATGGGCATGCCAAGTCATTTTTGACTTGACTTGTAACTTGGTCTGGGAATAATAAGTCAAGTCATGTTCAAAAATTCATAAGCACATAAATTTTTGATACACTTCAATATTGGTTTCTAATGTGGTATCTAAAAGGAAAGTATAATTAGAAACAACAATTGTTTCCACATAGTGAATTTTGCTTGAAGTAAAATATAGGATATTGAAAGTGTTAAGACTCTTTTGCAGCTTTCAGTAACTAACTCATTTCTCAATAGATTCTTTAATGAAAATACTTTGATTTCTTTGTTTTACAATAAATAACCTTAAACATAATTCAACAAAATAAACTTAAATCTTAATATGAGCCAAAGATACAACTCTTCTTCTTCTTCACCATTAAGCATACTTAGAACTGCCTATGATAAATTCTTTAAAAATATTCAATATGAAAAATAAAAAAAACAGTCAGCTGAATGCCTATTATGTGAAACACCAAAGAGTTTTTGATAACATAATTGTTACTTTTAATTTTACTCGGCATGTTCAAGAACATCATAATCAAGGTTCTGACAAATGGTTACATAAATTAAAAGAATTAAAAGGTATATAAGTGCCAAAAATCAAACGAATAAAATCACAAAACATGTTCAAAAAATACCTTCAACACAAAGGTCAACAATAATATAAATCATCCACGACAAGCTGAATCATTCATGACCATCGTGAATGATTTAATTATTAAGTTAGGTCTACCTTGATCAATTGTAAAACGACCAGCCTTTATTGATTTCATGAAAAAAGTAGATCCTAAATTTAGCATTATAAGTCATCGAACATTAATTCAAACGACCATTCCTTCGTTATATGAGAAGATGCGAAATCAATTAAAAGCTTTTCGTTCAACAGCTACATTTTTCTCCTTGGCTGTAGAGATTTGGAGCGACAGGAAATTATCAACTTGTTTGTGATATTTTTTTTCTTGTGCGATAATAAATCGGTTATTTGTGGTATATTTGTTTTTTCTTAGATAGATAAATCGATTTGCTTATGATATTTTTTTACTAATCGTGAAACTTTGCTCAAAACTCTTTTTTCGTTTGAAATAGAATGAAGACATCATGTCTTGATCTTTCAAGAATAATAGAAAACCTGATGAGAACTGATTTGTATTTTGACTTGACTTCAACAATTTTAAGACATGATTTGATTTGATTTGATTCAGAGTTTTTGAATTAGCGCTGACTTGACTAGAAATTTTTGAACTAGCTATGACTTGATTTACCACTTTTAAAAAGTGATTTGACATGACTTGAGTCGAAAAATCGCCGACTGGTCCATATCTGGTTAAAAGGACTAGTTACGATAGGTATTTTCGAAGTTTCGGATTGATCCCTTCGCTCATCTTTAACGACTATTTGTTGCCTTATCATTGTTCTTCACTATTAGTCTGATGTATAAGGGCGTCGTATATCAGCTATCGTCGTTTTGCCAACCACATTCTTCAAATAAAAGCGATACAGATTATAGAGATCCTTGAAGCTTCTAGCCACAAATCAGAAAATAAATGCCGTTAATCAAAAACAACCAGACAATTATAAATATAGAGACGACATTTCACTAATTTTATTCACTTATTCAGCTGCTATGAGCAAACAAACGTCGACAACAGATGTTATCAGTGGTGCAGCAGGAATGCCTAGCACCAGCAATTTTACGAATGTCAACAATCGTACAATTGCTGTGCCACCTCGACCTATGCATCGCGGCCTTCAAAATTTCCTTTTGATCTGGCTTGATATCAATTTCAATGAAACTAACGACAATTATAAAAAATCAATACAACATCTGAATGATATTTTAGCAACAGTCACTATATTTAAAGATGTTGACAAATGCATTGATTTTATCACAGATATTCACAATGAAAAAGTATTCATGATTGTGTCTGGTGCACTAGAACATCATATAGCATGCAAAATTCATGAATGCCCACAATTGGCCTCCATGTATGTTTTATGGGATTGCCAACTGAACGAAGAGGAATGGATAAAAGACGCTCCAAAGGTGAAAGGTATGTACAAACAACTGGAACCGATTTATGATGCATTACAGACCGATATTAAAGACTGTGATCGAGCGATGATTTCGATGAGTTTTAGTGGTATTGATTCACTGTTTATGTATACACAGTTATTGAAAGAAGCGCTTTTAGAGATTCAGGATGATGATATAAAATCTGTTAAAGATTTCGTCGAATACTGCCGTCTACAAAGCGATGCTTCTGAAAATACACTTCAAAAAATCAAAGACGAATATCGTAATCATTTACCCATTTGGTGGTACACGGGTCCATATTTTATCTACTCAATGGTCAACTGTAGTCTTCGGCAAATGAATGTCGATATCATTCTGAAAATGGGCTTTTTTATCCGACATTTACATCAACATAGGAATTATTCACAAAATACATAAACAAAAAAACATTAGATATTTCAAAGTCTTACAAATTTTAGTATTAGCAAGTGTGACATCAGCATTTCGTTATTTTTTCCTCATGTGCTAAAAAACCACATAAAATCAATTATCTCTATACCAATAATTTGTACAACTACTGTTATTCAAATATTCTTACTATATCTAAGATTGTTGCTCATAGGAAATAATGGATATTTTTGTCAAAATTCGTACTTAAATTTAAACTTCTATTGAATCGAAAAGATATGAACGATATACTTCGTGAATAGCTCTATATTACAGAACTATATCAAGAGCAACAATATAAGCTACCGGCAAAATTTCAAGTCTTTCGTGGACAAGGTATGTCTGTGGAAGACTTTGCAAAAATGGAAAAAACTAAAGGAGGACTCATGTCCTTTAATACCTTCCTCTCTACAAGTCTCAATCGCCAGACTTCATTGGAAAGCTTTGCAAGACCAGCTGCCGAAAATCTAAACTCTCTAGGGATCCTCTTTGTTATGAATATCGATACAACTATTTGCGTCGAATCATCCACACCATTTGCACAAGTAAGTGAAGTTAGCTACTATCAAGACACAGAGGAAGAAATACTTTTTTCCACACATACAATTTTTCGTATCAATCATATCGAACCAATTCAAGACGCGCATACTAATCGCCTCTGGCAAGTAAATCTCACCATCGTCGGCAATCACGACGATGATTTCAACAAACTTACGGCACATCTGCGAGCAGAATTCATTAAGAGAACAGGATGGTCTCGGTTTGCTCAAATACTAATTAGATTAGGAGAGTCTCAAAAAGCACAACATCTCAGTCAAATGCTCCTAGAACAGGCATCAACTGATGAAGAGCGATCGCATTATTATCATCAAGTGGGTGAGGCCTGTCATGGCATGGGAGAGTACACGAAAGCACTTTCATCGTACGAAAGATCACTTGAAATCAGCAAAAAAACTCTCCCACTGAATCATCCTGACTTCGCTACTTTCTACAACAACATTGGGAAAGCGTATTGTCACATGGGCGAGTACCCGAAAGCACTTGTGTGGTACGAAAGATCACTTGAAATCTTCAAAATAGCTCTTCCTTCGAATCATCCTGATTTGGCAGCTCTCTACAACAACATCGGAGAAGTGTATGATAATATGAGCGAGTATTCAAAAGCACTTTTATCGTACGAAAGATCAATTGAAATCCTCCAAATGGCCCTCCCTTCGAATCACCCTGACTTGGCTGTTGTCTATAGCAATATCAGTAACGTGTATTCTAACCTGGGCAAGTACTCCAAATCCCTCTCATCGTACGAAAGATCACTTGAAATCAGACAAATAGCTCTCCCTCCGAATCATCCTGAATTGGCTACCTCATACAACAACATCGGTGAAGTGTATAAATATATGGGTGAGTATTCGAAAGCACTTTCATCGCACGAAAGATCACTTGAAATCAGCAAAATAGCTCTCCCACCGAATCATCCTGACTTGGCTACTTTCTACAACAACATCGGTAAAGTGTATTGTCACATGGGCGACTACTCCAAATCACTCTCATCCTACGAAAAATCACTTGAAATCCTCAAAATAGCTCTCAGTCTGAATCATCCTAACTTGGCTAGTTCCTACAACAACATTGGTGAACTGTATTATCGCATGGGCGAGTACACGAAAGCACTTTCATCGTACGAAAAATCACTTGAAATCAGTAAAAAAACATCTCTCCCTCTGAATCATCCTGACTTTGCTAATTCCTACAACAACATTGCCGGGGTGCATCAAAGCATGGGCGAGTATTCGAAAGCACTTTTATGGTACGAAAGATCACTTGAAATTTTCGAAATAACTCTCCCTCCCAATCATCCTGACT